CTGACAGCTTGTGTTAGCACTGACAGCTTGTGTTAGCTCTGACAGCTTGTGTTAGCTCTAATAGCTTGTGTTAGCACTGATAGCTTGTGTTAGCACTGACAGCTTGTGTTAGCACTGACAGCTTGTGTTAGCTCTAATAGCTTGTAGCCGCTGCCGCTGAAAATACATTGACTTTTAGCTTCGAGCTAATGCCCAGGCTAGCAGCGCGTCCTGGCGCGGTTTAGAACGGTTTAACGCGTAAAACTGTAAATATTTCAGGCCGAACAGAGCCGGTACACATTCAGACACACAAAGCGCTCCAGAACCCGTGATGAAAACACAGGTAAGCGTTTACCTGTGCCCAAAATGACGACATCAAATTCAGACGGCAGGTCCTCGGCAGCCATGTTGTTTTAGTGAACCATGGTCATGTGACTGATCAGTTCTGGACCAGGAGTTCTGACGTTTGTGTCAGAGGAACCTTCAGTTCGGATGTTTGATCCAAATCATTCTTGTGTTATTTACATGTTTCAGTGTTTATCAGAACTAATCGATCAGACTTCATCGATCATTACTGAAGAACAGACAGAGGTCCGACTGCTTCCTGGACCGGACTGGGATCTGCTGCCAGAACTTTCACAGACCTGGAGGACCCGCCACAGATCAGAACTGCATCACTCTGTGAAGGATGCTTTTAATTTTCAAGGCGGACTTTTAATGTGAAAGTCCATCTCATTACTGATGTTGGAAGGTAAACAAGTGCAAAGAATAAACAACAACAAAACTATCTGAGGCCCCTCCTCCAGGGTAGTAATCAGGTGGGCGGAGCTCTGAGGAGGTAGTAATCAGGTGGGCGGAGCTCTGAGGTTATTTAACGACTTCTCACTGATTAGTTGTTTTTTAATTCCATGCAGAATTTGAAGTTTTCTCCAGCTTTTATGAATTCTAATGTTCAACCGACGGACCCATTGAGTTTCAACAGTAATTACATCATCATCATTCTGACACAAAACAGTTACCAGCAATTAACAAGATTTGGACCAGAACTAGAGAGCACCACATGTATCTCTGGTTCTGGTCCCAAGCCCGGGTAAATGGTGACGTTGTGTCAGGAAGGACATCTGATGTAAACACTTTTGCCAAAACTATAATGTGAGTTCCAACATTTTTCAGTCAGGTCATCTGGACAGTTTCTTTTTGTGCTGAAACGTTTCGCCTTCAATCCAGAAGGCTTCATCAGTCAAGGAAACACAAAACTGATTCTTCCCCCAACAGCTTACTCCAAAGTGGAACAAACCAGTTCTGCTTGTGATAAGATGGTCTCTTTGGAACGCCCCCTCCTCCATTGCCGGCCCTCTTCCTTGTTGACAGTCTTGTCAAACTGGTTGAAAACAACAAAGTCCATGCTCAATAATCCAGGTATACAATCCTACATTTTTCAGTCAGTTCATCTCACCTTTACTGATGAAGCCTTCCGGATTGAAGGCGAAACGTTTCAGCACAAAAAAAGAAACTGTCCAGATGACCTGACTGAAAAATGTTGGATTGTATACCTGGATTATTGAGCATGGACTTTGTTATAATGTGAGTTCATCAACAAAAAGAAAGAAACCAGGAAGGACAGGTGGTGGTGGATTTCACCAAGAGAATGTAAATGGCAGTAGTCAACACCTGTTTCCAAAAGAGGGGGGAGCATAGAGTGACCTATCAGAGTGGAGGAAGGAGTACGCAGGTCGACTACATCCTGTGTAGAAGAGGAAACCTGAGGGAGACTGGAGACTGTAAGGTTGTGGCAGGGGAGAGCGTGGCCAGACAGCATCAGATGGTTGTGTGTAGAATGACTTGTTGTTGTGAAGAAGAGAAAAAGAGTCAAATCAGAGAAGAAGACCAGATGGTGGAAGATGAAGAAGGAAGAATATCCTGATGCATGCTCAATAATCCAGGTAGAAAAATCTAAAACTGTTAAGTCTGGTCCTCTTGACATTCAAAAAAATATATATATATAGAAAAGTTTTGTCTCTCATCCGAGAGACTTCCTCAGTCTGAGGTGCTGTATTCAGCTCAGTCTCTTAAATAGCACCTTCTCAGAGTGGATCAACCAGTTTGCTGCTGACAACCAGAACCAGCTGATCACATGCTCAAGAAGGACCATCAGCCTAACAATGGATCATTAGCACCTGATGGCTGTTTACTGTTCACAGAGGGCTGAGTGATACTAGCAATCACAGCATTGTAAGAGGGGGACAGTTGAACCCGGAGGCTCCACCCCTGTTTAATGATGGACGGTTTCTTTTCACAAAGATGGCCTCCTTTACTCCTCTCTCAAACCATCGTTCCTCTCTATCCAGGATGTGAACATCTTCATCCCTGAAAGAGTGACCTCTGGCCTGGAGATGAGTGTAGACCTCAGAGTCCTGGCCTGATGATGTTGATCTTCTGTGCTGGTCCATCCTTTTGGTTCTGGTTGTCAGCAGCAAACTGGTTGATCCACTCTGAGAAGGTGCTATTTAAGAGACTGAGCTGAATACAGCTCCTCAGACTGAAGAAGTCTCTCGGATGAGAGACGAAACGTTTCTGTATTTTTTTGCTTTGTTTTGTTTTTTGGTTTTTTGAATGTCCAGAGGACCAGATTGAACTTTTTTGGAAGAAGGAAGAATGTTGTGATAAATTCAGAGAGGAGCTGTTAAAGGCTCTGGGTGGTAAGAAAGAGCTTCCAGATGACTGGACTACTACAGCAACAGTAATTAGAGAGACAGGTAGGAAGGTACTTGGTGTGTCATAACATGGTATGGTATGGTATAAAGTTTATTCATTTTAAAAAAGTACAAAACAATTCCATAACTATATAAAAAGATACAAAAGATTTAAAATGAAAGGCAGCAGAAAGAAGAAAAAATCTTATTATATCTGCCCCTTTTTTCAAACAATTATTTCAATCATAATAATCTTCAAGTAACAGAACAAAATGAATAACTTTCTAATTTTTCTAATTCTAATACAAAACACACACTAAGCTACTTCATATATACTTTTTTAACAATCCAGCTTTGATCTTTTTCTTAAATGTTCACATTGACTTGACATTTTTCACATCACTCTCTAGAACATTCCACAATCCAACTCCTTGGATTGAGGTAGACCTTCCCTTCAGACTAGTTCTGAATTTTGGTTTGACAAATATCTCTATCCCCTTAAGATTATAACAACTTTGTCTTTTAACAACATTTATTTGGATATTTAATGGTAATGTGTTATTTTGAGCCCTATACATAACTGATAAAATACTGTAATCTACCAAATCATGGAACTTCAATAAGTTCAGTTGATAAAATAATGTGCTTGATGGGTGACAGTAATGCTTTCTGGTGATAATTCTTACAGCTCTTTTCTGTAAAATAAAAATAGGTTTTGTAAATGTTTTACATGCTTTCCCCCAAACATCAATGCAATAGATTAAATGTGGAACAATGATTGTGTTATACAACATGTACAGAGCTTTATCATTTAATAATTCCCTGACTTTGTACAGTACTGCAATAGATTTAGATATTTTTGTTCTTACAGAATTGATGTGATTTTTCCATGTTAGCTGTTCATCAATGATTACACCCAAAAATTTCATCTCATTAACTCTACAAATCTCAACACCCTCAATTTTAAATGGATCATCAACAGTTCTCTTTTTGTTACTAAATATCATGTATTTAGTTTTATCTAAATTTAATGATAATTTATTAAGTTTGAACCAAGTTTGTATTTTATCAAATTCTGTCTTCATCAATTCCAACATCTGTTTCACATCTTTACTCAAACAAAAAAATGTGGTGTCATCTGCAAAAAGGACACATTTGAGGAGTCCTGATACATTCACTAAGTCATTCACATATAAAATAAATAACTTTGGTCCAAGTACAGAGCCTTGAGGAACTCCACAAGTGATATTGCACAGGTCAGATCTTACACCATTTATTTGTACAAACTGTTTCCTATCTTTTAAATAGCTAGATACCCAGTGTAATGCTGGTCCTCTTATACCATATTTATTTAATTTTTCAAGGAGAATAGTGTGGTCAATAGTATCGAATGCTTTTTTTAAATCAACAAAAATACTAACACAATACTGTTTTTGATCGACAGCAGTAGTTATTTGTTCCATTATTTCCATGAGAGCCATTGATGTAGAGTTTTTTGCTCTAAACCCATACTGACTGCTACTTAGAATGTTTTGTTTAGTAATAAATTTATCTAATCTGGTCACAAACAGTTTTCTAGAATTTTTGAGAACTGTGGTAATAAGGATATTGGTCTATAATTATTGAACACACATTTATCACCATTTTTAAAGAGAGGAACTACCTTAGCTACTTTCATATTGTCTGGAAATATTCCTTTTGAAAATGATAAATTACAAATATATGTAAACGGCTCGATAACATAACTCATTATGTCCTTTACAAACATCATATCCATGTCCACCCAGTCTTTTGATCTCTTATCTGTAAGATTTTTTACAACATTCATTATTTCTTCTTTGTCAGTTCCATTAAGAAAAATACTGTTGTCACAACTTATAACTGAATGGTTCACATTATTGTCTACTTTTGGTATTTTAGCTGCAAGGCTTGATCCAACGTTCACAAATTGATGATTAAATCCATTTACAATTTCATTTTCATCATGGATTTCATCGTCATCCTTCAAAAAATATTGTGAAATACCTGTTTTTGCTTTATGACTTTTCAGAACACTATTTATTACTCACCATGTAGCTTTCATATCACCATTACTTTTATTTAATAAATCATGTAGTGAACTAGACCTCCTACAACAATCTGTCTCTGAAGACCTTCAGGGGACAGGAACTGTTATTTCATTGATTTGAATCCAGAACACAAATTATCTCATCAAGAGAATATTTAATTGTATCTTGAATTAATCAATTGACAGAACACTCTTCTTTTTATATTATCATTACTATTTTACAATATCTTGATAATCAAAGTGTGTTTAGTTCATACCATTTCTAATGTTGAAGTGAACCACTCATGTAAATCAACTGTGAAACAGTATTAATGATTTTTAAACTTCATTAGACTTAGATCATACAAGTTAAATGTCTATTTACGAAGTAATTGTGCATTTTAATCTTCTTTCTGAATGAGGGGTGGATTTGATGTCAGTCAAAAGTCAGAGAACAAGTTATGAGAACAAAGTGCCGTGTTTTAAAACTCTCAGACAGTAACTAAGGAACTGGCGCCTGTCACTTCTTCAAAATATTTTCCTGTCTGTACTAACCATTCTTAAAAACATTTCTGCTGTCTGCGACTCCTAATAACCCTCTGACATCACTAAAACTCCACCACTGCTGGTTGTGTTAACCAATCAGGAAGTACTAAATAACAGGAAGTGGATACCCTTTAAAAGTCAACACTT